TGGGGACAGGAGGCAGAGGGCAGGGTGGTGGGAAGCAGAGGTCAGTGGGGACGGGAGGCAGAGGGCAGCGGGGACGGCTTTGGAAGCCCATGAAGCCGAAAGCCATCTCGACCGCTGCACCGGGTGCCAGCTTCCCAGGCTTCCAAAGCCACCCCGACCGCCACACCGGGTGCCGGTGCTTTGGAAGCCCGGGAAACCTCCGTAGCACATTTTTGCATTTGTTTTGTTTTTTTGCAGCCCCAGAAGCTTGCAGTGTTTTACAGTAATTTTGGTGACTTTTTTCCCTTTGGCTGGAATGGATTAAATGGTTTTCAATGCATTCCTATGGGAAATGGTGCTTTGACTTACAAAATTTTTGAGTTATGGCCACCATTCCAATACAGATTAATTTCATAAGTAGAGGCACCACTGTAAGAATTGTACTGCAATAGAGCTTCTTTTTAAATGACTGAATGAGAGTTATCTAAGAAAATAGCTTTTTATTATAGACAATTTATCTGCTTTGTATTTTGAATCATTGAGCTTCACCTGTATGGCGCCTAAACAGAAGCTCTACTTTTAATAAAACCAAAGTTTCTTTTCTAACATAGAAATATTATTTACGCATATGAACTAGAAAAATATCTAACAGAAGGCTGTGATTTTTAAACTATGTACTCATGTAATTTTTATATATTTTTTATTATAGACAATTTATCTGCTTTGTATTTTGAATCATTGAGCTTCACCTGTATGGCGCCTAAACAGAAGCTCTACTTTTAATAAAACCAAAGTTTCTTTTCTAACATAGAAATATTATTTACGCATATGAACTAGAAAAATATCTAACAGAAGGCTGTGATTTTTAAACTATGTACTCATGTAATTTTTATATATAGTGGTTCCGAAGGCTGTGATTTTTAAACTATGTACTCACGTAATTTTTATATACAGTGGTGCCTCGCTTAGCGACGTTAATCCGTTCCAGGAAAAACGTTGCTAAGCGATTTTAAAAAGCCCATAGAAACACATTAAAACGTGTTTAATGCGTTCCTATGGGCTTAAAAACTGACCTTATGCGAAGATCCTCCATAGGGGCGGCCATTTTCGGTGCCTCTAAAGCGAGGCAAAACAGCAGGGGGCCATTTTGTTTATCCGGCAGCCATTTTGGAACCGCCAATCAACTGTGCAAAAAGGGTCGCTTTGCCATGATCGCTTCCCCGCGGTCATCACAAAGCGATTTTTCCCCAAAGAGGCCATCGCTAAGCGATCACTCTGGCGATGGCCAAAACCCCATCACTAAGCAATTTCATCGCTCAACGGAGCGATTGCTAAGCGAGGCACCACTGTATATTCCAAGTATATTTTATATTTTTGGCTTTTCTTTTGAAGAAAAGGATTCATTTTTGAACTTTTAAAGACAAAATTATTGCAAGGTATCCAGATTATTGCAAGGTATCCAGGAATGAAGATTTGAAACAAAAAAGGTACAATATCTTCTGAGACCATAAATAAATTCCTTTTTGATATGTGCAGAGAATACAAATCTATGGGTCATCCATAAAGAGCCTGTTTATCGGGAGCTTTATAGGAGACATTCAGATTTTCCTCTGTGGAAACTGACACAATGAAGGTCAATAATTAAGGAAAAAGGAAAAAAGAAATCAATATATTTTGCAGTTTTGCAGGGCGAGTGGATTAAAAGGGAACATTGTGTTGTGGAGAACCAGCATGGGATTGTGACCCTACGGCCTCTTCAGGGAGCACATTGTATTGTGAACGGTCATGAAGTCACAGTTCCAATCCGTCTGTCACAAGGTAACTTCTATATTATTGCTTTTACAGAATTGCTATCCTTAGCCACAACTCTTACTCTGTTTCTCCAAAAATAAGACAGAGTCTTATATTAATTTTTGCTCAAAAAACACATTAAGGCTTATTTTCAGTTTTTTTTTCATGTACTGTATAACAATCGGCATTTATGCAGATACAGTCATGTCATCTTCTTCTGGTTGCTGCACAATGGTGGAGGATGGGGTTTCACTTAACTGGGGCTTATTTTGGGGGGTAGGGCTTATATTATGAGCATCCTGAAAAATCCTACTAGAGCTTATTTTCAGGTTAGGTCTTATTTTCAGGGAAACAGTAGGTATGGTAAAACTGGGAATGGCATTCCCAAGGACATCCTTTTGATTTCATTAAGACTTAGTTTTGTCCTTTTGAACCTATTACTGCAAATCTTTTATTGTTACAGTGATCTATGAGTGCAGTTATTACTACATTTGTGTTACTGAAAGGAAAATTAGGTTGTGAAATAACTTTTCTTACCCAAAACCATCTTCCAAATGAAGAGCTGACCTGGAACTTGAACTGGTTCATGATGAACAATGTTTTCTTCTATGTTGTACTGGTTATATATTTCATTTATTTATTTATTTGATTTCTACCCCGTCCATCTAGACCAAAGGTCTACTCTGGGTGGCATTTTATACTTTGCTCATAAAAAATAATGTAATTGAAAATCTCTGTATTTTGAGTATAGTATTAAGTGAAGTCGAGTAATGCTTTGAAGCTGTGGTTTAAAGACAAAAGGTAGGTAGGCAAAAAAACCCATAATATTCTTGAACTTTTGGATTCATCTTGACTCATTTCAATTAACTTCCAAGATGAAAGCTAAAATAGAAATAGAAATGTGTTCATTGCTAGTGTGATATGTTTTATTAATAACATCTGGGTTTCCTTTTTATTAGTATTTGTATCATTGCATTTTATAAGGCAATGTACGTATAGTAGGGGATGGGCTGAACAGCTCTTTGGAGGTCTCACATACTTTGTAGACACCGTTAGTGTCATCATAAGACAGAATGGACTCGGCAACACAACACACACGTGTATCAAATTTAGAGAGCACTTTAATTCATTCATGGATATAGATCAGCTGTTTTTGCAACACTGTGTTTAATTCTAGGTGTACCTGTAGAAAAAAAGACATTGTATGGCCCTTTGTGCAGTTCATGCACGAATGAGAAGAAAACAATCAAAATGGTAATGAGATTTGGATGCCTTCCATCTGAGGAAAAGGCTAAAGTGTTTCAGGTTTTTTTTGTAAATGAAAAAATGGAAAGGAAACATGAAGTTTATAAAATAATGCATGCTATATAAAGAGTGATTAAATTTTTTTATTTTTATTTTTTTTTGCTAAAAGATCTAATAAAGGCAAAAAGAAGTACATCCTCATACAATGCCTTACAGTTTGACTTGTTTTCTCTGAATGGTCACTTGCCGCATCAGATGCATCTGATGAAATGTGCTGTTGTTCACAGATGATTACGCCAGATAAAACTTACCAAAAAATTTTGTTGGTTTTAGTGCAATAGACTAAGAGAGTTACTTTCCCCAATTCATATAGCATGTAATTAATTTATGGAGTTCACTGGAGTGGATGTGGTGATAAGTCAAGATCCAACAGTACACTTTGGCATCCAGTGTCATTAGAATTAGAATTCTCTTTCTGCAACTCTAGTGGGGCCAAAAAACCTGCTACAGTAGGTTCTCCAGCCCTACAGATCATGACTTTGGGATTAACATGAGGTTGCAGGGGTGGGGAGTAGGGGAGAGTTGCCAGTTTTGGGAGAAGCAGCAGGTTCCAGAATAAGTGCAGCTTTGAATTCTGTCTACAGGGGCCATTGGCTTAGGTGGCATTAAAAATAATTTGCAGTGGATGTCTAACAGTTGTGAGAGATACTGAACTAGATCCTCCATGTTTAGAGGCAAAATGTGCCTTGACAAAAAGGGAAATGGTTGTCTTCAAATCCTACTTGTTGGTTTCCTGGGTGCAAACCTTTGTTTTTCTTTATTCTTTTTTTTTCTTGTAACATTTCCTTTTTAAGAGGAGCTCAGGTAATGCCAAATTTAGATATAAAATAACTCTTATTTACAAGGATACCTCTAGAATTTTTTAACTATAACAATGAAATCATGCTTACAGAGACCTGTGGTAATTTAGAAGTTTAGTGTTATATTCAGAAATACTGTTTTTGCAATACAATGTGCAATGAATATTTATAAGAAGCCAAATATTTGCAAAACAGTTTAAATAACTGCCTTTTTCTCATTTAGCTGTTTTTACTTTTTTTTCCTTTCTTTTAGGAGCTTTTATTATTTTGGGCCAGACTCACAAATTTAGGTTTAACCATCCCACTGAGGCTGCCATTTTAAGACAAAGACGATCAGTAAGTTAGAGTGTGTTATATTTTCCCCCTTTTGTTCCTTCATTGCTTACTAATGCTTACATTCTAATTGCTTATGTTACTCTTTTGTAGAAATAAAAATAAGGGGAAACTTTTTTCATTGCTGTATTATTTTAAAGCAGGGGTGTCCAGCCTTTCACCTTCCCTGGGCCGCATTAGAAGATGAAAATTTGGTTTGGGCCGCACATAAAATAACAGTAACGATACCTGGCCAGTTGCAACAAGGTCGCTAGTGGCCCATCGCCCAGCGCTGCTTGGGGCTACTGCTGCCACTGCTGCTACTCCTCCTGCTGCTGCGGCAGCTTGCCTTCTCCTCCTCCACCTCCACCTCCAGTGCCCAGGCATTTACCTTCCTTTGCTGCAGAGGAAGCCCTTTTGCTCACCAAGGAATTGAAAAGGAACCGCCAAAGCGAGGAGGAGGTGGGGGAAGAGGGCTGGGAGGCCCCAACAAGCCGGATTTAAAGAGACAGCAGTTTCTTCCACCTTCTGCCTCCTCCGCGTTCCTCGGGTTCAGCAACCCAAGCGTGGAGAAGGGGTAGCCGAGCGTCCAGCCACAACCCTCCGCTGGAGCAGGCAGGGAGCAGGTTTCAAGCGAGCATGGGTTTGACTCCCTGTGCACACTCCCTCCCTCAGGCAGGCAAGCAGAACTCATCCTGCAATCAAGCTGCCGCTTGGATCATGCGAGGGACCCCTCGGCTGGAGACAGAGCCTGGGAAATTCAAATACCCTCCCCCACTGGGATCCTGCTTCCTGCTGCCGTGTCTCTCTGTGCTGTTGGCTTCCCAGCCTGGCTGGAAAGCTAGCACCATGGAGCGACTCCACGGCTGGAAACAAAGCCCAGGAAATTCAAATGCCCTCCCCCACCAGGCTCCTGCCTCCTGCTGCCGTGTCTCTCCGTGCTGCTGGCTTTCCAGCCTGGCTGGAAAGCCAGCACCACAGAGCGACCCCGCGGGTGGAGACAGAGCCCGGGAAATTCAAATGCCCTCCCCCACCTCCTGCCTCCTGCTGCCGTGTTTCTCCATGCTCCTGGCTTCCCAAGTAGAAACTCCAAAGTTTCTACTTACACTCAGCCTTTTGCCAGCCAAATCCAGCCCCAATGAAGGCAGCAACCACGGTTGTGTCAGTCTCCCCTCTGGACTCTGACCTGCAGCGGGCTGCTTTTCTCCCCGCTGGGCCGGAAAACCCAAAGCCTGGCAACTGGACGGACAAACCACCGGGCTGACTTCCTCCCTCACTCCGGGCAGCAACGATGTTGAGCGGCTCAGCCACCCGCTTCCACCCCCCAGGCGCTGAGTTGGCTGTTGAGCTGCGGGGCGGATTTGGCGCTAAGGCTCCAGAGTTTGAGGCTGGCTTTTTCCCGCCCGACACACACACACTCCGTGTGCGGGTGGGCAGCTCCTCCCTCCCTCGCTGCGTCTTTCCAGCTCAGGCTGACTGTCCTGCTGCACTACAGCTTTCTGGCACCAGGAGTTGCTGCTCTGCCTGCCTCCTCTTTTTTGCTTCCTTGCTCACCCACTCACACACTTTCCTCTTCACCAGGAAAGAGGCCGGGTAGCAGAACTGGAACGCTAGCACAGCATTTTGGGAGGTGCGGGACCTTCACTGGGCCACATTAGGAGCCGACCTGGGCCGCATGTGGCCCGTGGGCTGTGGGTTGGACAAGCCTGTTCTGAAGCATGACAAAAAAGAGAATGCTGGAGATTTGCTGTTGTATATAGTAGCTCTTCATTCCAACAGCCATGATTTCCTTCAAGATAACCTGGTTATGAGGGGGCTTGGAATACTGTTTTACAGTGGTTTTGATCCTTCTGAGCTAATCAGTATGTAGTACAATGGAATGCCTGTTCTGTTCCCTATATCTTTTCCCATAGGGCTTTCTATAAGAAACTGCTAGGAAAGTTTATCCAGGGATTTAAGTCTTCGGTATCACCAATAAATAAATGGCATCTTCTCACTCAATTTCTCCTTTACATCAGAATCTAATTCTGAACTAATTCATGGAGTCAGCAATGAATGGATAAGGGCAACAAAACTGACATTTAATCCTGGCAAGATAGGGACATTCCTCATCACTAGAATGCCTTATCCCAAAAACAGGGATTCAACCTCTGTTGAATCAGTGTTGGGAAATTTCAGTGTATCTGAAATACAATGGTTAGATTGCTGACTTGAACACTATTGGGAGCACATTACTCCACTGTCAAAGGAAGAACAGCCAAAGAAATGCACAGCATAATATCACATTTGTTGTGGTTCTCATGGAATCTGGCTCACTCCCCTGGAAAGCCTGTTGAACATAGCCTGATTAGAGCTCTGAAGTAATGCTAAACTTTGCTGTTATTTATTATTATTTATTTATTATTTTATTTATGTTATGATTTATTTTTAAACATTGTATAGTCCCAACTTTTGTCCACTATTGTATTTAACAAATGTTGTATTTAACATTTCCTTGTGGTGTTTTGTGCTTTACATTTAGCTATTTTATTCTAAATGGTTGTACTATTTTGACTATTGACTTGATAATACTTTGAATATGTTTTTGGTGCTGCTTTTTAATCTGTTTTTTTTAGTATGCCATTTGTTTTATCCTCTTTAGTATTTGTATACTTACTGTTTTTAAGTCTAAATATTGTATTTTAATGATGTAAGCCATCTTGGTTTTTTAAAGAGAGAAAGGAAGGGTCAGAATACTTTAAATAAATAAATAAATACACTTTCCAATGACAAAGATATAAATAATATAATTAATGGACTGTAGTGGGCAGCAGACAGCTTGGTGATGGCATACTGATGGGTATTATGCCACCCACACACCTATTCTTACAGCTTCAACATAGAAACACAGACAAAATCTGAATGTGGTGTCATGAAAAGAACACTGTGTTACAGGATGTTCTCCAGCAAATGCTGAAATAACACTGGAATTTGCAGAAAGTAATAGTTTTCCTGTGCCTTCATGTTCCTTTCTTTCGTAGCTGCACATAACTTGTTCCTAGCAGATTTCATTTGAGACCATCATTAATGAAATTGCTGTGTTTGCAATGTTTGTCATTGGTCTGCCATTAGTATCATACTCTTTAGTACTCTCTTTGATTAACAGCAGATTTATTATAAGGCTGTCTAGGACATTAAGATGGCATGTAAGACTTATGTTTCAGCTATACAGACCTTAAGCTCTTTAGAACAGGAACTATATTGTATAGTAAAGATTAGCAGAAGTAAAGGAAGCCATTTTACTCCTGTTGTTTTTTTAATCTTCCTTGCCATCATTTCTTCTTCTTTTTAAATAGATCAATGAGACCTGTTCTGTAGTGAGTTGTAAATCTCTTGAATGGCTAGATTTGGATGGAGGCCTCTCTTCCCTTTCTTACGACTTTTACCCAGCTGAAACAGAAAGGTAATTTAATAAATATATGACTGAGCAAAAATGTCATTTATCTGCATCTGTGTTTTTCCCCCTTTTTCCAAAACAGCGGATCTTGTGTACTCCTCATTCTAGATCCAAACCTAATACCCATAATTAGTATAGCTGGGTAATTTTTCGTATGAACATCAGTAAATTATTTTGTAGAACAAGGACATTGTCTGTTTCCCACATACTTCTGGGTCTGATTTTTGTTTACCCTTTCTTCAGAAGATAAATAAAAATAAATAGTAAATAAAATTGTTTTATGCTAATGTCAAAACATGCATATCGTGTAAGTAATCTTCTTATGTATAAAATTAAAATATGGCAGTTAGTTAAAAGTAACCATAGCTACCTGACTCCACTGCCATTACAGGACTGCTTTGATGTCATTCTAAACACCAAGAATAGAAATCAGAATAAAAGAGAGTAACTTTGGTAAATATTCTATAAATCTTCAGATTGTGTAGTGGTTTAGTCATGTCCGACTCTTCGTGACCGCCCGGCCCTCCTGCCTTCCCCTGCCAAATCTTCAGATTATGTTAGTGTAAACATTTATTAAATAAATGAAATACAAATGTAATAATGAAAAATAAAAATTATGTATCTCCTTCTTGATGCAGGTCATCTGATAGGAAAGTGGATTATTTCTCTATTGGAACAGTAATCTGTTTAATCAGTTGACTGGGGGAATAGAGACTATTATTTATCTTGCCCACATCTGTTGGTTGACAGGCAGAGAGGGAGAAATAGAACTCTTAAGAGATTGCTTTATTATGTCTGACGTTAGAAATGGATTGATGATACATTATTTTCAACATTGTCATCATCAGACAAGAAAATCTTAAAATAGAACAACCAGGTCTATTCTTATCTTTTGCCTCTCTTTACCACTTATCAGAAGGCGAGCTCTTTTCTTCTGCATTACTATGATCCTAACAGTCTAGTTTCTAAGTCCTCCATACAGAGCACGATACCATAGTCTTTCGAGACTGAAGGATGCCTACTAGTTTCTAACTATCTAACTGGGATCTCACCAGTTTGCCTGCTGAGGAATTCATAAATAGCTACTGTCATCCATTCCAGGTTGTTTGAAACCCAACCCTTTTGGTACCCAGAAACTGGGACAGTATTCCAGTTTGAGATTTGACCAAAACCACAGATGAAAAGCATTACTCAAAACTCTCTTTTTAAAGTGCTTTAAGAGAACTATTGCTAGTCGAAGCTATTTTTTGCATTCAGAAACGTGTTTTGTTATATTCCATGTCTGATCCTGTGCAGCTGCCGTAGTCATCTGCTGTGGTGTATTACACTGATGTTATGGTGTGTTATTGAGAACAGTCTCCTGATTGGATAGATGTACTAGAGAGGAGATGTGTTGGAGGAAAATGCAAATCAGTGGCTGGTCTTGTTAACTTAGACTGTTGACTGTTTTAAATACCAGCCTTCAGTGCAAGGATACCTTCAGCGTCATTAGTAGTTATTTTTATCCTTATTTCTCTTGTACAAATCTGAAAACTAAATAAATAAAACATACCTAATACAAAATATCCCAGCAAGAAGAAATACATTTTCTCATGTAGCTCAAGGCTTTTTTTGGTTTTTGTTATTTTTAAACAAAGTATACTGTGCTTTTAAGGCATAGCTTCATCTCTCTTGCTGGAGTTTTATTTTCTGAGCCTCAGTGTATGATTGCAGCAAAGGACTCATCTTCCTTACAACCTCTTGCTGCCATAGCTACTGAAAACTGCATTATGCAGTAGAAGCCACTAGATTCTGCATCAGCCTTAGAGGTGCTTTGAGAAGAGAGGAAGGAGTCACACAATATGATTCCAGGAAGCTGATAACAAAACAGCCTAGAGAAAATGTGATTTTGCAGAAGGCTGATTTTGTCTTCTAACTGCAAAGGTAATTGGGGGGGGGGAGAGAAGATGAAACATAATGCAGTTGTTTTTATAATTCTGGAACTGTTCCTAATTTTTTTTTTTGTTTCATTCGATTTAAGGTCAATGATTTTTTTTAAATTATCATGCTATCTGCTGTGTCTTAATTCTACTGTTGTCATAATGCCATTAATAATCATTATATCACGTGTGATGTATTATTGTATTCCACAAACGCTGTTTTCTCTCCTGATTCAATTTTTTTCAGTTTGGCTTTATATATCTCATTCTAAGAGAAAGGTCAGGTTTACAGAAGCAGAACTGATTTTTAATCTGTCTTTCCAAGGGTGAAGTCATTTTATTTTCTAGTAATTCTGCATTAGCTGTTTGAATTTGGAAGGAAGGACATCTGATAAGTTATTTTATGTTTTGAATAGTATTCTTTGATAACTAAAATACAGTGATTTAATCATATCTGCAACACACTGAAGTTGTACTGGTAGTGGATGACAGTGTTTCTTCTGTGCATTAGTAAAACAGCCGTTTGTGAGAAAAATTGGATGTAGAGGCCTGCTTTTATAATGTGAGTTAATTTTTTTAAAATTTATCTTGACATTCCTCTTTGCATGGAGTGTTTGGGATGGGGAAAATAGCTGTTGTAGCATCTGATTTCTACTACTGCCATTTCTCCTTAATGTTACTTTGTCACTGGTTATCTATAAGCCTAGCAAGTTATACTGTATATCATAGAATCATAACTGATTATAGATTGAGAGATCTAAATTGAGGGCTTGTTATTTTGAAGTTATCTAGTTTGATTACAGTACGTGAACCTCATTACTTATTACCTTTTTGCAGCATTCTCTGTGCTCTGAATATTAAAAAATAAGCTTTTTAATTTTGGGGTTGAACACTTGAAGCATGAAATCAATGGTTTTACACTTTAAAGGAAAATCTGACAGAAACCTTAGTATTTCCTTGTTATATGGAAGTATGAGGTAGCAAAAGCTATAGATCTCTGCCATATTGTGATGAGTGTTGTTACAGTTTATGAAGAACTATTTTCAAGGCCTGACAAATGAACACTTCATAAAGCTCAGTGTCTTGTCTTTTGTGGGGGCCATTAGCAAATGCTTTGGTGACCATGAATAAGACTGTTAAGCAGCAGCTCACTTTGTTCAATGGCAGTTTCTGTGTTCAAACGTTTTGGTCTGTTTGAGCAGTGGTCCCCAACCTTGGGCCTCCAGATGTTCTTGCGCTACAACTACCAGAAGCCTTCACCACCACCTCTTCTGGCCAGGATTTCTGGGAGTTGAAGTCCAAGAACATTTGGAGGCCCAAGGTTGGGGACCACTGTGCTTGAGATATACTGATCAGCCCCACCATTAAAACCACCTGCCTAATATGGTGTAGGTTCCCTTGTGCTGGCAAAAAAGACCTCTTAACATTTCCTGTGGTATCTGGCACCAAAACATTAGCAGTAGACCCTTTAAGTCCTGCAAGTTGCAAGATGAGGCCTCCATGGATCCGATTTGTTGTTCTACCACATCCCATAGATGCTTAATCAGATTGAGACCTGGGGAATTTGGAGGCCTAGGCAACACCTTGAACTCTTTCTCATGTTCCTCAAACCATTCCTGGGCAATTTTTGCAGTGTGGCAGGATGCTTTATCCTGCTGAAGAGGCCACTGCCATCAGGGAACACCATTGCCATAAAGGCATCTACATGGTGTGCAACAATGTCTAGGTAGGTGGTATGTGTCAAAGTAACATCTGCATGAATGCCAGGACACAAGATTTCCCAGGAGACTATTGCCCAAAGCATAACAGTGCCTCCACTAGCCCGCCTTCTTCCCATACTGCATCCTATTACCATCTCTTCCCCACATAGACAATGCACACACACCCAGCTATCAATTTGTTCTAAAAGAAAACATGATTCATCAGACCAGGCAACCTTCTTCTATTGCTCCGTGGTCCAATTGTGATGCTCACTTCTCCATTCTAGGCAGTTTCAGCAGTGGAAAGGGGTCATCATGGGTACTCTGACTGGTCTGTGACTACATAGCCCTATACATAGCACACTGTGATGTACTGTGTGTTCTGACAGCTTTCTGTTATGGCCAGCATATCTGTTTTTCAGCATTTTGAGCTACTTTAGGTCTTATGTGTGATTGGACCAGATTGGCTAGCCTTCACTCCCCACATGCATCAATGAGCCTTGAGCACCAGCAAACTTGATGCCAATGCACCAGCTGTCCTTTTGGTAGGTACTAACAACTGCATACTGGGGAAAACCCCACAAGACTTGCCATTTTGGAGATGCTCTGATCCAGTCATCCAGCCATCACTATTTGGCCGTTGTCAAAGTCACTCAGATCTTTTCACATGCCCATATTTCCTGCTTCCAACACATGAAATTCAAAACCTGACTGTTCTCTTGCTTCCTGATATACCCTGCCCCTACACAGGTGCCATTGTAATGGTATAATCAATGCCATTCACTTCACCTGTCAGTGGTTTTAACATTGTGGCTGATCAGTGTAGTTTCCTATGTAAGGGCTATTAAATGATGTGTTTTCCTTGAACTGATTTAATTGTTTTGTAAACATAATTTTCCTATTTAAATATTTTTAAACATCTAATTCTCATGGGTTTTTTTGTTGACAAGGTAGAGGGAGCTGTTCTGGTCAATTTACAGTGGAAGCCTGGGGACTAAGCTTTTCTTCTTAATTTACGAGGAGCATCTGAATGTAGAAAGCACTGAAGTAAAATTTCATCAGGGCATAAGGTTATTTGTTAGTCTGCTTGGTTACTAGAAGTTTTATAGCCTTCAGCAAATTTAGGGACTGGAACTATTGCACATAAGATGAGAGTGGTTTTCACAAGTTCCATCAAGGCAGTCCTTTAATCAGATGCTCTAGATAATATAGAAAATAAACATAAGCAGGATACTGAGAATATTCTGCCCAGGGGACCCAGTATCTCCACTGGCTATTTTTATGATTCCTGGGTATCAGTCAAGATTCTGACACATTTGTTCTGGAAGGGAGGACTAGGTGGGAACATCTTTCTATTTACAATGCTTTCCCCAGGATATTAATGGAT